AACCAAAATTAAAGTTAGTGTGTCATCGATCAACAAAGATAAAAACAAGAAAATAAAAGATGAGCGGTACACCAATTCAAAAGTTTTATTAATCATTAATAATATACATATATCTTATAAATATATTTATTCAAACTTAATATTTTTAAAGAAAAAATATTTAACTATTAAAATCTTTTAATAATTTTAAATTACTAATTTAAATAGTTAGGTATTGATTAAAATTTAAATATTTTAAAATACATAGATCGACATCTTAGAACGTATATGTTTGTTTCATTTAAATAAGTAGTCTATATTATATAATATAAATAAAATAAGTTGTGCATATAAAAATCAAATAAATTGCCCTCAAATTACCAGTGGATGTTTATCCTTGGAAATTATTTGAATTTGGGTCGTAAGACTAACCTATTTATGATACATATGGTGTGTTTCATTTAAATAAGTAGCCGATGTTATATAATACACATTCATGTGAATATCAATAGAAGACCCAAAAAAAAAACCTGAAATCAAAGGTACAGGAATCAAAGAAGTAGATCTTTCTTGGCAATATCAGTTAGGTAAATTCAATTATTTATTGCGGCGTTTGCATTGAAATTTTACTATCTGCCTCTATCCATACTCTTCTAAACCTGGGTTTTCCCCCATTAGGTCAAGCGAAAAATTTAATTGGTTTAATAGATCAATTCGAAATTTATTTTATATTATATGATAAATAATACTACAATGTAAGGTAAATTCGACACATAGAAGTTTCAAATTTGCCTAAATAATAGTTTTTATTTAAACTCTTCACGTCGACGTGATGAGTTCAAATAAAATAATTTTTTATTAAAATTTATCACACCGTAAAAAATTTAAATAAAAAATATTTCTTATTGAAATTCATCTCGTTGACGTGGCGAGTTCTAAGTCGCTATAGTAAATATCGTAGATCCCTAAATAATTTGTTTTGTATTGTATTACTAAATAATTAGCCCACATATGGTATTGGGCCAATTTACCCCTAAACCTTGGTTTTCTTAACACATTAGGCCAGACGAAAAAATTATTAGCCCAACTTGCCAATTCGAAATTTATTTTGCAATCTATGACAAATGTTGTAGTGCAAGGTAATCTTGTCGTGTCGAGAGGACGAGTTTACCCGAATAATAATTTTTATTCAAACTCTTCACGTCAACGTGACGAGATCCAAATCAATGTAGTAAATGTCGTAAATCCCTAAATAATTTACTTGACATGACGAGATCCAAATCACGGTAGTAAATATCGTAAATCCCTAAATAATTTACTTTGTATTGTATTGGGCTAAATAATTAGCCCTCATACGATATTGGGCCAATTTGGCCTAAACCTTAGCACATGTTTTGGGTTTTAACCTAATAGGGCAACCCAATTGTTTTTCCAAAATAGTGCACAGACACTTTTATTTTGGAATCTACAATATTTTTTTGTTTAACGTCGTATTCTCCAAAATTAAAACCGTGCCCTAATGGGTGAAATCACCATTTTTACCCTAAAAATATTTATCATATTATTATATACAAAAAAGGACATAAATCCCACAAAATCTAGGCATCCATGCCCCAACTGCTACCATCACCAACTCTCTGCCATCTCCACTCCCTACAAACTGCCCAACAGTACTCAAATCAGAGATGTAAATTTTATTTTTATTGTTGTAATCGGGTTGTTATAAAACCCAAGCAAATGAAACAAGACCGGGGCTCATTTTTTTGAAGCAAACTATTGTAATCATGCTCCCCTATTTATTTCAGTAATGTAATACAAAAAATTTTATGATTGTTTCGAGTGAAACCAAGAAAGAAAAAATAAACAAAAAAAAACCAACCATTTTCTGATTTCCTCTTTTGAAATTGACTGAAACAAAAATAGAGGTTAGGTCGTTCACTTGAATCGACGACCATCGGTCGTCGAGACCTCTTCATTCGTCGTCGTGGGTTGTAACGTTGCCGGAGTAAGGAGGAAATCAGAGGCTATTCGAAACAAAGCAAAAAAGAGAAAACTAATAGATCTAACTTCTCTATCGGAGCTTCGTCGACAATCGGGGCTTCCACGGTCAATTCAAACAGTGAGAAGGCGCGATGAATCTCCAAGAATGACATATGTAAAAAGCAGTTCGATCCAATGGTGGATGGAGGAGATTGAAGCTTCAGAAGTCGAAGCGTTCTCAACCATTTTCGTGGAGTTGGACACCGTTTATCGCAAAACCAAGCCCAAATCCGCACTCTCGGCATCGAAGCAAACTTCCCCATGTTTTTTGGTACCCAACGACCACCGAAGATGGCGGCCCGTGATGTGCGGTGTAGTTGCCGACGGATGGGCTTTCGTCGGATTTTGGAAATCTTAGAGAGAGGGGAGAGAGTTTATGAAGAAGAGAGAGAGTGAAGAAGCACAAAATGAAGAAAGGAATAAAGGGACTTTATAGCCTAACCAAAACGACGCGTTTATTAACCCAGGCCGTTCGTTTTGGGGCGAGGGGTCTAATTTCTTCCGCAATCATCCTAAGTTTCTCTAATTTCATTTCAGTTTAATTCATTTTTATTTTAAAATTGATGTCCTCGTTTTGCTATTTTCCATCTTTATGTTTAAATATAACTTTTGGTGTTATTTTCTTTCAAGTCCTCCAACCTTTGCCGTGTTTTTACAATTTGGTCATTAATCCCTTCGTTTTTATTTATTTCGAATTTAAGACACTATTTTGTTAATATTTTAATTTAATTATTGAATGTTCCTTTTTATTTCTGACTATGGTTCTTTATATTATTTTATTACAATTTGGTCATTAATCCTTCGTTTTTATTTATTTCGAATTTAAGACACTATTTTGTTAATATTTTAATTTAATTACTGAATGTTCCTTTTTATTTCTGACTATGGTTCTTTATATTATTTTATTACAATTTAGTCATTATTTATGTTGTTCGTACTATTTCTAATTGATCCTTGCATTTTATGTTTTATTACAATTTAGTCCTTGTTGTAATTTATTCTTCTAACTTATCAGTTTTTTTTTCATTTTTTAGAGGGTAATCGAATCAAGATTCCCAACTTTGTACTTATTCGATTCGTTAATTCTTATTTTATGTTTGCCTTTAATTTCTCAAGTCTTTAAATTTTGCCTTTTTAAATTTCTTAATTTAATTTAGTCCTTTAAATTCTTGCTCTTGACTTTAAATATTTATTTTAATTTTATGTTTTATTTTTAAATCTTTAATTTAGTCCTAGTGAAAATTTAGATCTTTAAATTTAACCCCTATATTTAGACTTATCTCACTTAGTCTTTAAATTTAGGGAATAATTCGATTTGGCTCTCGCATTAAGATGCCCGAAGTTTTATTTCGATTATTCTTTCCATAAATTGGTAAGATTAATTAGGATTAATAATAGAGCCTTAACTTTAGGTTCTTCACTCTTTAATCATAAAACTTTTAATTAGATATTTATTTGTCATAATTAATTACGTTATTAATTAGAGTCTTCACTTTAGGTTTATTTTGACCTTAGTCCTTTAATTTATAGAGTAATTTGAGTTGGCCCTTGCCTAGATGCCAAGGGTCCATCTCGATTATTCGATTCAATAACTGTTAAAATTATATAGGATTAATAGTAGATCCTCCATTTCTAGGTTTAGTCCTTTAGGTTCTTTAAATTACATAAATGGACACTTTAGGTTAGAGGAAAACCTTAATTAATCCACTATTTTAATTAGGTTTATTAACAAATTGTGTGTTTGCATCATGTTTTCAAAAACAAGGCAATGTTCATTTATTAGGGGTTAATAGTGTATCTTTCGCATTATGCTCAGGGGGGACCACTGGAAATTCCGAAATAAATCGACATATTTTTCAAAACCTTGCATACATAATGAATTTTAAATTAAATAAGACCTCAAACTCAATATTTTCAATTTTAAACATAGGGTAATCGACTAGGTATCAATTTCTCGGCGCTGTGGGTATGCTAATTCTCCTCCACACGTAACTGACTCCCGAACCGATTTCTGGTTTTTTGCAAACAAAATTTAGTATTTTTGATCAAATAAATTGTTTATTTAAATTACCCGATTTTTGGTATTCCAATCGTACTTTAAAATAATTGGTGGCGACTCCCAACATTTCACAAATATTTTCAAAGAAAACCCCAAGTCGTACTAAATCTTTTGTCCCACCCGGGGAAAAAACGGTGTCGACAATGGCTAAATAAAAAACCTGAATACCCTAATGGACCAAAAACACCCATGTTTTTTTAGACTCGGCCCAATTATTTGACCTAAATTATATATACACACACACATTATTAACTATCTGCTGAGAAGTGGTTGGGGGTTCTTCCTATAATGTGCAATTAGGTCTAACTTTGTTATATTTTATTTCTTTCAAATATGAATGCATTAAAAATAGATAAAAAATAATATAATTATCTAATATAGAGACGACGTAAAGTTTAATTATATATTTGTATATATACATATTTTGATGTCGTGTATCATATCTAGAATTTAGAGTTTAAAGATTTATATTTTAAATTTTGTATAAAAAACTATTTTTTATTCTATGTATAAAAAAGGTTATTCTGAAAATCAGGGTTTATTTATCGAATATACTTTTCAAAATCAAGGGGTCATGGTTTGTTTATTTGTTGTCGTATAACTAAATCTTGTCCTACTCCTAATTGAAAGCAACTTTAGGCATCAAACGCCCAACTGTACCTTTCTAATTTGTCTTCTCAAAATCATGAAATTTGATAGGAGCACTTATAATCATGAATACAGCTCGTTCTAGATTTCTAAAATTATGAATACAATCCGCTTCTCATAATCATTACAACTTAATTTAGCTGAGGATTTCATTAGAATCTAAAACGGGGTTTGCCAATTCACATGCAAGCATTAAATGCCACAAATGCCTTTGTGTTTGCACCGCTCACCATCGTCACTCGTTAAATACCCACTTCTTTCATTTCCAGGATTCAATAAATCCTTTCGCTGTTGTTTAGATATTTTTTTTGCAATGTTGAAGGACTGGCTTCCACGAATATCAGAGGCAGCATTTAGATGTGGAGAAGCTGTTTCTTTCTGGGTTTTTGCTGAAATGAGAGATCTTGGGATCGGCTTCTTGTTTAAGCTGTTGAACAGATCAATCTTTGCTGCTCTCCTCTGCGTTTTTGCTTTAGGTATTCTGCCATCTTTTGTGTGTTTTTGCTGCAAAATCTATTCTCTGAAGTCCTGTATTATGTTATTCTGATTCGAGTATGCGTCGGATACAAATGAAGAGTTGGAGTAGTATTATGGCTTTGATTTTTTTAATAGGAGGGGCGATAGTGGGAACTGTAGTAGGAGCAATGAAAGGGCAAACAACAGAAACTGGGTTCTTCAGGGGAGCTGGAATTGGAGTTGTCACTGGTGCAATCACAGCAGTTCAGTTGCTGGAATCATTGGCTGATGGGGAGTCATTGTCTAAGGTCAATTTTTCCATTAATTTCATCCTCACCATACAGGAAAATCTTGCTATTTTAACTAAACCTTCCTTTTATAGGTGGCCTTATTGGTTAGCTTAGTAGATGGGAAGGTTTTCATTGAATGGGTAAGCCCAGCAGTGCTAAAAGCTTATCAATGGCAGGTAAAGAATTTTCTCGGTAACCAAACATAATTACTGCTATGTTTTAAGCAACGTTGAAGGTGATGAAAAATTTTGCAGATGAATTCACTTGACTCAACGTACAGAGAGATCTCGGACATATATGATGTAAATGGAGGAAAGGGTTTATCTAGAAGTTGCATTCAAAAGCTTCCTATTGAGGTGATGATCAAATCAAGGGACGGATCTTCTTGTTCAATTTGTATACAGGTAATGGAATCGATTGCTTTGAAAAAAAACTTCGGCTTTTCTAAATACACAATGACTCAAACTTGAGACCTTGCTTAAGCGATATCAAGCTGCTTACCACTTGAACCAATCCCATTGGTTGATAGCATTGAAATTTGAATCTCAATATCTATATATATATATATTTTTTAAAGTATGGAATTATGGGGCAGTCAATTGAGATTTTGTTGTTTTATAGGGACTAAAGGATGGAGAAATGGCAAGAAATCTACCGAGATGTGGGCACATATTTCACTTGAAGTGCATAGATGAATGGTTAAGCAGGCAAGGAACTTGTCCCATGTGTAGAGAGCATGTTCTTAGTTATGGTGATGAATTGTAAATAATCAAATTTTGATTCACCAAAAGTTGAGGGTTTTCTTTTTAGTTGTATTGCCGATCTACTGTTTGAATGGGGAATTAATGATCCCAAAAAAAATACTATAAAATGATGTCGCGTGTGTGTTTAGGATAAATTGTATAATTGGTTATTTGATTATGAGCAAAATTAGAAGAATAAATGTATAATTACATTGAATAATATTGAAGAGTAAATGTGCAATTATATTAATTTTTTTAATAATTGTATCTGTTTTTTTGGTAAATATTAATAACAATTAATAAGTGTAACACTTAAATAATTAATTGATTTGATTAACAAAATTAAAAGATCAATGATTAAAATAAATCCACCCATAATTAAATTATCATAAGTGAATTTATTCTTATGTTTTTTTAGTAGTCTTAGATCTAGGATGACAATGGATCATGGACCCGACCCAAATTCATAGATCCAGAATCATTTTTGTAGGGTATAGATCCTAAAATTTTGGACTCGACGGATTTAGACCCAATCTAGATCCTCTAATTAAAGTACGAATTTGGATCTGGATTTGACACTAAGAAATCGAATCTGTACTTGTTTACCTGTTTATAGAAAAGTCCACCTTTCGTTTTAAAATATATAAATGACGTAATAGGTTTTAAATATATATATATATTTTATAGAAGTGTAGTACTCGACTTACAACAATAGAATGTTTTATGATCTACATTTTTTAATGTTTGTGTTATTCAAAAGACATTTGTGTAATTGTGTTGGAATTTTTTTTAGACTTTAGTTTATCCTTTTTTTATTCTATTACTAGTTGTACTGAAATTAATATTTATTCCATAAGAGGGGTGATGTGAAATTAGTCAATGATAATTTTATTACATCAAAAAATAAGTTGAATGGTTGTTTTTTTAACATACCTATTTTCGATATGCTTTCTGCTTTGGACCCAGATCAGTGAAATCTATTAGATCTGGATCTGCCTCCCAATTTTCTAGACCCATAGATCTGGGGCGGATTTGTACTGAAATTAATATTTATTCCATAAGAGGGGTGATGTGAAATTAGTCAATGATAATTTTATTACATCAAAAAATAAGTTGAATGGTTGTTTTTTTAACATACCTATTTTCGATATGCTTTATCTGCTTTGGACCCAGATCCGTGAAATCTATTAGATCTGGATCTGCCTCCCAATTTTCTAGACCCATAGATCTGGGGCGGATTTGGATCTAAGATGTGAAAATCGATCTAGATATGAGTCTAACTAAATCCGACCTGTTGTCATCCCTATCTGAGATGATTTTTTAATTTTTTTTAACTAGTGACCGAACACTTTATAAATACATTTACTCGAATTTAAAATCTATGGAATAATATTATTATCACCAAAGACACCCGATGAACTCTACAACCATGTGCCATAAGCATCTTAGGCTTCAACAAACTAGGGCAATTTAGTCTACATATAAAATAAACGAGTATTCCCAATTCATTTTGTTTTTAACTTCTCAGCTAGTTCACAAGAGCACAAGACCAAGTGAAGACAAAGGGCCAGAGAAAGAGAGAGGGTGAAATGGCTTGGTGTGGTTTTAGGTCAATTCATGTTCCTACCATCGACTTGGGATTTTTACGTACTCTCTCTCCATTAACCGCCGTCGGAGGAGTCGTTGCCGGCTCTTCCCTTTGGCGATCCTCCGCAAGAAATGGCTCTCCTTTTGCTTGCTTAAGCCTCTCCACTTCTCCTGGTAACAAAAAAAGATTATCCAGTAAAATAAATGGTTTCTTTTCACTGTTTGATTTTGAGTTTGTTTGATGGGTTGCTTTTGAATTTTAGTTTTAATCGAGTCTTAAAAAGTGTTGTTCTCAATCAAGTTATGGTGAAAGGGAAAGAACAGGGTTGTGATTTGTGAAACATATGGCCTAGGCTTATGGTGGTCAATTGATAGTTTGCTAGTTAGTCGTTTTTTTAAGAGAGATTTAGGGGATTCATATTTGATTTCTTGTAATTTTACTTCATTGTGTTTGAAAGTCTAATATTTGATAGCCTATCAGGATTGTTAAGGGTTTGCTACTGCTATGATTCAAATGTATACGAATGGACGTCTCCTTCTTAAAGGGTTGTTTCGTTCTCTGTTACTCGGACCAAATGCAAGTGTGGATATGAGCAAGTGTGTCTGTGAGTGATCCGAGTGTGTCATGTCGGACCGGCACATTAGGAGAAGTAAAAAGTCAGGGCAATATGGGTTTATTAGATGCACCTAAGGTTTGTGATTATGTTTTTATTGTAGGGATTAAGGAGGCTGTGGTGACTGAAAAAGCACCAGCAGCATTGGGACCATATTCTCAGGCCATCAAGGCCAATAATCTTCTATTTGTCTCTGGTGTTCTCGGTCTTATTCCAGAGGTTCGTGGAATGTTCATTAAACGATCTTCAGAATATGTTAAGCTTGCATTGCATTTCTTGCCTTTGTTACTTGGACTCGCAGTAAAATGTGTCGAATATAGATATTTTAGGGAAAATGAAGAGTTCAGGTAACATAGATCCTAGGTTTCAGTATATGCAAATTTGCTGATCATGTGTATTGTTTTTCTATTCTAGACTGGAAAGTTCGTCTCAGACAGTGTAGAAGATCAAACCGAGCAGGTATCGTACGAATATGTGAACTAACGCCTAATGTTTCATGATTATAGGCTTATAGTCGAATGCATGCTAGTGACTGAATTTTCTTTGTGATTCTGTAGGTACTGAAAAATATGGGTGAAATACTGAAAGCTAGTGGTGCTGACTATTCCTCGGTGGTTAAGACAACAATTATGTACGATTTTCTCTTCTGTTTTGGTTTGTTTTATGATGCTAAGGTTTGATAATCTAAAATCAACAAGATCTTATTTGCTTCTTCGGTTTCCTTTGTGCAGGTTAGCTGACTTGAAAGACTTCAAGAAAGTGAATGAGATCTATGCTAAATGTGAGTACAAAAGTTGAAATCCGTTTTTTTTGTTCAAAATAATATGGTTTCGCCAGTTTGTCTTAAACCTCGCATTCATATACACAATTTATAAATGAAAGCAAGGTCATCGATATACAACTTGGTATTTGAAAGAGTTAATGAAGTGCAGTAGACTTAAACCTTGAATTCTCATATGTCAAACATTTGGTTTTATAATCAAAAGGTTTGTTCTAGGCGACACATTAATCTGACCATTGCATCGAAATAAACTTTGAAAGTCATATGTGCACAGTGTGCTTGTTCATCAATGAATCTCTTGCGGAAAGTTGTGGCCTTTAAAAATCATCTACTAGAGTTTTCATGCTAACTCGACAACATCATAGAAACTAGAAATTTTATTTGTCCCCCAAACTGGTTTGTGTTGCAGACTTCCCTTCACCGGCGCCAGCTCGTTCGACATATCAGGTAGCAGCATTGCCATTGGATGCCAAGATTGAAATCGAATGCATTGCAGCACTCGAGGCATGATGACAGGGAGATTGAAGTTATTTAAGGCAGGAAGCTAAGCTCTGCTTTGCAGTTATAGCTAGGGGGGGGAAACAATTGTCGAATAGCCGAGGTACACTGGGAAAACTTTGATTATGATATTTGAACTTAATAATGTTTGGGACAAGAATCTACAAGTTGTCATGAATTTGTGTCCGGTTCATTCTTAAGCAGCAAGTTCGATTTTGCTTTTGATATATCACGTTTTCTTTTTAATAAAAAATATAAATAATGTTAATGAATCGCTGGATTTTATTCGTCTTGAACATGATACATGCCAAAATATGAAATGAATGCGCTACTTAAATATGATCAACGTGATACATTTATCATGCATATCTTACTCGTGTTTATATTTCACCAATTATCACTATATATATTATACTTTCTTAAAAGTCTTATTTCTATTGAAAATAACAAACTTAATAGAATGTCAAAAAACCCCAAAGATCATTATTTGATTCTTTGTAAAAATAATAATATTATTATGTATCTAATTTATTTTTTTTTATTTCTTAGATTTTTTCGATTATGATATTAATATAAAATATTATCATAAAAAAATCCACACAATTTTCATTTTTTTAATAAAAAAAAAACCAAAATGTTGTCTGTTCCCGCTTCCCATGAGGCAAAATCATCAGACAAAATCTGCAACCTGCCACAACTTTAAAATCAATCAAAAAAGCATCCAAGACAATCTAGGCTAACTGCATAATGTCCAGCTCACCCTTGTCTCTGATCTCCAAACCACCACCAATCACCCTTCTCAACCACCAACGTCCACCGCTACCCACCGTCCATGTCAGTGCCGCAACCTCCACAACAACCACTGCAATGCCAGATCACCACCCTTCACTCGAAATCACAGGTGGAGGAGCTGAGCTTTTCCTCCCTGCTCTCGATAGCCATCACCTTCCTTACAAGCCTTTCCCCATCAGTTGTTCGAACCGCCATCTCGAGACCATATTCGCCGCCTTCTTCCGTACCTTCCCCGAGTGAAGTACCTCCGTGAGTGCCTCCGGACCAAAGACAACGGCACTATAGCCCTGGATTGGGTCTGTGGCGATCACCGCAGATTGCCTCCCGACTCTCCGATCCTCATTTTACTGGTTCGTTTTACATATAGCTCGAATCTGTATTACCTGTTCTAAATACCCTTTTGTTTGATCTGTTGAAAAGAGTGAATTTTAATGGTTTAATTTTCTACCCTTTTGTTTGGTTGGTGGGAAAATGTTTGCAGCCAGGGCTAACAGGAGGGTGTCAAGATTCATACGTGAAGCATATGTTGGTGAAAGCTAAGAGCAAAGGCTGGAGGGTTGTGGTGTTCAATAGCAGGGGATGCGCAAATAGCCCTGTTACTACTCCTCAAGTACTTGCTACTAATATAATTTTTTTTTCGAATTTAAATTATGATTGCGGAAGTATACTCAATTTTATCCCTGATTTGCAGCTCCAAACAGCTTCTTTCACGGCAGATACTTGTCATGTTGTAGATCATGTTCCCTCCATGTCTCCGGAAGCAAGTGTTTACGGTGTCGGTTGGTCTCTTGGGAGGAATATCCTTGTTAACTACTTGGGAAGGGTAAGGGAATTTTAACATTTATCCGACGTATATAATGAAGAGTCCGAATAATATAGTACGTTTTATGTATAAGTTTCTTCATTTTTGGCTTTCAGGAGTACCATAGATGTTCTCTCTCTGGTGCTGTATCACTGTGCAATCCTTTCGATTTAGTGATTGCAGATGAAAATCTCCGAAAGGGCTTCAACAATATTTATGACAGAGCGCTTAGGGAGGCCTTTCTGCAACTTTTTCGAAGTAATTATCCGTGAATTTCCTCTCACTGATTGTGTTAATTGCATTAAAATTTGAAGATGTCCTTTTTGAGTACAATATAATAACCTGAAATTATTCTGCAATGGTAGACACGTTTCCCTGTTTGAAGATGGAAATGATGAATATAATGTCCAAGCGGGTCTAAATCCTCGTACTGTACGTGAATACGATGAAGCAATAACACGAGGTATTCTTTTTCAGACATCAAATCTATGTTACTCGAACTCGGAATACGGCATTTGTTTTATATTATATTTGAAGGACATAGCATTTCCTTGCTGTTCAAGAAATGTTTTTTGGATGACAAACTTAAAATCTTTAACACATTGCAGTATCATAGGGTTACAAATCAGAGGATGAGTATTACTCGAACTCATGTAGTTGTCATGTCGTTCAACATGTTAGGATTCCTTTGCATCCAGGTAATTTCATGAGCAGTTCATAGCATTTCCTTGCTGTTCAAGCAATGTTTGTTTCAGCATCTGTTATTCTTCAAAACTGGGTTCATTAATGATGGTTTGCAGGCTGCAAATGATCCGATTTCTCCCATCGAGGCGACTCCTAACGAAGATATCAAAGTAAGTTTGGGTGATCTTGTGAGTCATATCCTACCGTTTACTAAATGTTTTAATCGGCAAAGATGCTGATGTTTCTCCATCCATGTGTGGTTTTTTAGGTTTTAAGGAAAATCCGAACTGCATGCTGATAGTAACACCCCAGGGTGGTCATTTAGGATGGTTGCCGGAGATGAGGCACCCTTTGGAGCTCCCTGGACCGATAATGTGGCAATGGATTTTCTCGAACATCTTCGGAACGGTGCATCGAAACCCAAAGCAGCTTGAGCCATGGAGATACAAAGCTCCGTTAGAGAGAAGTTAAATTACACGATCCATATTGTTCATCGAGCGTTGTGTGAATCACGTTCAGGTTTATTATGTTCAGCAAATGTGTTATTGAACACATAAAAAGATCAGAAGAACCGGAATTGACAATTTCGAGCTTCTTCCGGTTTATCTTTCTCCGGTTCATATCAGATTTCTTTCCTCGTCGGCTTGAGATCCGGGTCAGCCGGATTCCTTACCGCAAATATCTCCGGTAAACTCGTTGTTGTTTAATAATTAGTGTATTTATGTAGACCCGACCTAATACATGTGTCAGATGAACTTTAACTCAGGACAGAAAGTTGAGCCCGACAGACAGTCAGAAGGGTAATTTCGTAAATATATGGCGAAAGGTTCACCTTCTTAAGGTTAGGTCACACCATTGCCCGAACACTAAAATGGCCAGTTGGCTGCTCTTCCTTTTCCCACCCTTGGATCAACCATCCGGGCTGAACATTGACTAAAAAGTACAGAAATTAGGTCCCTTGGAGATACAAAGGAAAACCCTTTTTGTTTACCACTTTTTTTTATAAAAAAAAAACCCTTTTTGTTTAGGGCTGTGTTTATCATTTTAGTGTGTAAAACAAAGCAAAAGTTTTTGTTTTTGGCTTTGAATTTAGAATAGAATTATATTAGACCAGATATTGTAAAAGGAAGCTGCAAAGGGTTATTAAAGGTCAGCAAGAACAAGGAAAAATGGATTTTTTGTTTCGTTTTCTCGGGAAAAACGAAAAGAAAAAGGGGGAGAGGTAGGGTTGAGCTGAAGAGAATTGAGAACAAGATTAACAGGCAAGTGACTTTTGCTAAGCGAAGGAATGGGATTTTGAAGAAAGCCTATGAGCTTTCGGTTCTTTGTGACGCCGAGGTTGCTCTCATCATCTTCTCCAATAGAGGAAAACTGTACGAGTTTTGCAGTAGTTCAAGGTATATCACCAAAACGAACTAAACGCTTTTTTCTTTTTTTTTGGTACTCTCTCTCTCTCAAAAGCTAAATCAAAACACAAATACCACAATGGGTTGCTTTTGTTTTAATCAAAAAACAAAGCAAGCTCTCTCTCTCTCACTCTCTTGCTTTGAATTCTGACTTTTGGACGTTAAAGAGGGTTGAAACGAAGGGATTTTTACTGCTTTTAGGTGGTAAAGTTTCGAGAGAAATTTTTGAGGAAAAGAGTGAAAATTTATGAAATAAAGTCATGTTTTTGAGTTTTTCCGTTTTGGTGAATTTCTTGGCGTTTATGGCAGAGCCCGAGTTTTTTTTTTTCATGTTCTCGTCGATGTTAGATCTGCAATTCTAAAACATCAAACACAAGATCACTGATATATTGTCTTTCTTATTTGATCTTTTCGTTTTATCAACCCTTTGTTTCTTTTCTTCTTCACAAATCTAACCTTTTTTTTCAAGTTTCTTCTAAATTGAAGAAACTCAGAGATTTGTTGCATATTAGCTTTGAATTTCACGAATCAGTTCTTTTCTTCCTTTCTATAATTTATCTCATTCAAAGCTTCGTTTAGATCTTTATTTTCCCCCTTAAATTATTATAAATCATGTATGTTAATATCTTTTATCTTATTATAAATCATGTATGTTAAATTAGCCCAAAACACCTTATTTCGGATCCAAAAAAAAATTAATTCTCTCTTGGAAGTACAGACGCCAGACGATGTTTAATCAATTCTCCTTTCGAAAATTTAAAAAAATTAATGGAAGTTAGATGATCTTCTCGGTGCAGACGGTATAATCATTGATGGAAGATCGATCCATTCGAAAATTCAAACAACACCCAGGTATAGAGACATAAAATTATTATCTCGCTTAGGATATTAAAATTCATTGGACCGGCCCTGATTATGACTGAAAATATAATATCATTCGACTCTATTTAAAAGTTTAACTAAAATAATATTCATGAATACGACGAGCGCAGTTATTTTTTGGATGACAAAAAAAAAAGGAAAGAATTAAGATATTGTTGTTTATATTGTTTACGATTGACAAATATTTGCTTTGATTTTCTTTTTCAGTACAATATTAAAATGTTGAAGTGTTAAAATTTTAATATTTTATCTTATTAAATTATTTAATAATTAATTATACTCTTACGTCTCAACATTTGTGGATATTTTCTAATCAATAAAAAAAAATAGTTTTCAGTGAAATAGTATAAATTGAAAGGTTGAACCATACAAGGGGTATTACCATAAGGCTCGTTAAAACCTCCCCTAAACTTAGTCGGAGAAAAAAAAAGTACTTATGATAATATGAAATAGACCAGAAACTTACATGACAAATCAAATAGCAACTAAACCAAACTTCCGGCGCTAACTAGCGTTAGCAAGCAACAAAGGCAATACGAACGATGGAAGCTCGTGATGAATAATGGGAATCAGACTATCATCTGCGGCACATTTTGCAAGTGCTTCAGCAACCATATTACCACCTCGACGGACATGCTGAACTTTAACGACCCAATCACGCTCCCGCAGCTCCGCCAAATGCCAATGTAAGCGATGGATTACACAATAATCATTACATAGAACACGGAGGGCTTCCAAACTATCCACCTCTAATTCCATATGTCGAAACCCAGCATCCCAAGCTAATAACAAACCAACATAAGCACCCAAATCTCTGCCTCGACAACGGTACAAACCCCTATAAATTTGGTGAATCCGAATTGCCAACAGCATAAGCTATCCCGAGCCACCCCTCCACATGCTGCATAGCCGTTCACATGGCGACAAGCCCCATCCGTATTTAATTTGATCCGATTTTCCGTAGGAAGATGCCAATGGGACTCGACAGAACCAGCAATATTCACATTAGCCTCATTACTAACACTACGTACACATGGCACTTTTTCATTGCTCCTTTTCACAATCTTTTCATACATGCGTCACGTTATCTTTCCTCACGACCAAAATGACAAAAAAAATAATGAGATAAAATGATTAAAACAAAGCCCAGGTTTTTTTTAAATGATTTATCTTTAATCAAAGTTTTAAATTTTCTTAAGGCAACATCAAAAAAGGTCAGCTGTTCTCTTCTAATCCCTAATTCCACGTTACTCTGTACGAAATTTTAAGGATATTTTCCTTTAAATTATTTGGGTTTTAGTAAATTCTTTCCTTCCTCGGCTGTTCTTCTCACTTCCTTCTCTGGGTTTTCGATATTTCCATGTTTCATAGGCTTAAGCTTTACTTTATTATGCTTGTTGCAGGATTTTTCCCCATGAATTGATGAAAATGCTGTGTAAAGGTCCACTCTTCTCGCTTTTCTTAATAGTAATTTATGGTATCTTATTATTACGTTTCAAATGGGGTTTTCTTCTAGCGCTTTAAAGTCTTCTTCTTCTTCTTCTATTATTATTATTATTATATTTATCATTTGAAATTACGAGTTATTTTATAAGTTAATACTGTAGATTATCTTACATTGCATACATGAAAAGAGTTTATTTTTTCCTGTTTAGGGTAAAAAGTAAATAATGCGGGGAGTTTATTAGTTTGGTATTTTACTCGAGTCTAGGTGTTAGATATAGGTATCTGTTCAACATGCGTTTAAGATCTTTACTCTAGGTTTTGTCTTCAATGGATTGAAGGTGAGGGGATATCGATATCTTGTTTTCTTATCAAAATTATATTCCCTTTACTCAAACGTTTGAATTGTTAGAACAGTTTAGAACTTCTTGAATTTAATGTTTAGTGATCCTAAGAAATAGTTAAGGTAAAGTTTAATGATTTTTATGGAATTTGAAGAGATCCTTTCCATTTTGGATAAAAAATGAGGCAATTTTTTGTCATTGGAACACAAACAAATCAGTCATTATTTCTTGGCTTTTTAAGCCTTTTACGCCTTTTGTAGTTAGCTAACCTATATGATGGCCATGGTTTTTTTGGGTCATGGTTCTTTGCATGAGTATTATTGATATTCACATTGCCAATTTTGACAAGATACTCTTTTTTTTTTGGAGTTAAGATGATCGATTGCTGTGTTGAAATCCTAAAGAGGAGTGGTTTCTTTGCGAACCTTGCTACTTGTACTACTCATTGTTAAGGGTTTCGTGCCGGCAAATGTTGCAGTATGACTAGTAACTTCGAGATTTTGCTGTCTTTTTCTCTCTTTTTTTCCCGAAGAATAGATCAGTCATGTGGATTTAGTAAATTGTTAAATTTAGAATTTGTTGACTGTAATTTGCTAGTAAATGTTAAAATGCTTCTCTATTTTGAATGTGTCCAAATGTGTTATTTGAACTTGAGTTTGAGTGTCAAATACTAGCTTTGGAGACGGACATGTCAAGAAAATTGATGAATTAGGTACTATAGGTGTACGATGTGGCCTTAAGTGATTATGTAGTTGAAATTTTGAATGTTAGCGTTTTCTTTGTTGGTTATAGCCGCCTTTTTGTCTTCCATGAAGGAAACAGTGATAAGATTCGTAGATAAGGCAATTTCTTTGCTGCAAATAGTTGATGAATCAAGACAATGACCAAGAGAATAACCCTGATGTATCAGAAGATTTTCTCCTGAAGCGCAATCGTGGGCGGCCGAGGAAACACCCAAGACATAGTCTAAGTCGGGGGGAGGATGCTCTGACTTCACGGAATCAGAACCCGAACTATGCAGAGAATACCGGTATCCCACCTGTATTTCAAGGGCTGAATGGCAACCCATCACATCAAGCAAATCCTGTCAACGATGATGTAATGGTTGGTCAGGCTGTTAGTGGTGTTATTGACTCAGCATTTGATGCAGGATATTTGCTTACTGTTAGGGTTGGTGACTCTGACACAACTTTAAGGGGGTGGTTTTCAAGCCTGGGCATTATGTTCCTGTTTCAGCTGAGAATGACGTGGCTCCGAATCTCCAAATGATTAGAAGAAACAAGATTCCCTTCCCACGCGAGAGGAATGGAACGGCTCATCAAGTCAATGGACAGCTGTTGCCAACAGGTGAAACGAGCTCGGGCTTCGAATATTGGAGCCTTAAAAAGCAAGCATGTGCAGTCGGAGGCAACACAATATGTTTCTCCGCTATTGTCCAGGGGCACGGTGGTGCCTGTTTTGCTCCAACCTGCTACTTTATCAAATGGCAAAGTTGCCAGCCAACCTCCTCATTTGGCAGCCTCTAAAGGCCAACAAGTATCCGGATCTTCAGATACGGCAGAGGAAAAGTCCGTCAACCCGATGCTAACAGTTGGAAACCAAATATTCCCTACTAACCTCAAAGTAGTAATGACACCGTTCCGAAAGGCATACAAAGTGAAACTGTTCTCCCATCTGAAGATCTACAGGTTAAAGACCCTAAGTTAATGAGTGGCATGCCCTTTGAGAAACTATTAACTGAAGTCATGAAAAGAGTTCAAGTCCCCCCTCAACCAGCGGAAGTCGGAGATGGTAATTTGTCGGTCAAAGATTTCAGACAACAAATGGAGGATGATCATCCACTCTCTATTGAACCACTACGAGCCGTACAACCCGCTCATCCTTCTTCTGTGCTCAAACCTTTGGAAATTTCAGAACCGGCAAGATGACCGAGCTGTTGAAGGTATAATAAATCCGAACTTGAGTTTTATCTCCCAATAGGCTATAACCTATTATGCATCTTGATGTTTGACATAGAGACTGACGTACTGCACTTATTTCCAAGGCTGTTCAAGAAAACATGAGGGAAAACCAAGCATCTCGGATCGAACAGCCAACCATTGATTCTGAAGAAACAGAGACATGATCCCAACAAGCAGTCACAGTTTTCGAGTGTCGCAAACGTTGTAGAGTGCTTTTAGTTGAATCAAATTAGACTGCAATATGGTTTCAATCCTGAAAAAGGTGTAGGAGCAAAGCAGTTTCCATTACTTGGAATAAAGCTTTTCGTTTTTCAGTTTATAGATATTTAGAAAAGCTTTGTTACTTGAAGCTTTGTCATAACTCAGTTATACAGGGGAACACCAGTTTCTTGTTAAATGTATGCGGCTTCCCTTTTTATGAACATCCATGGTAAACTATCTAATTAGTCACCTAACTTTTAAGTTATTTACATTTCGACCACTAAAATTTTAAAACTTATAATACAACCATCTAAATTTTAATTAGTTTTCACTACCATCAACTTCTAATAAGAAATGCTAACATGATATATTAAAATCATATTCTTTCCTCAAATTTTAATTAGTATAAGAAAAAATGTAACCGAAAATATTATAAACAACATAACATTTTAGGTTGAGTAACTTTTTAACATTTTCGTTTAAATTGAAAATATTATGAAAAAGTTAACATTTTCAGTTGCAAATTAAAATGTTACGAAGAATGTTTGCATCCAGAAAATATTAAGAAAAAATTAATATTTTTATGTTGTTTATAACATTTCGATCGCGTCTTTCTTTAATTTTATATTAGACTACTGTATTGTAAAACTCCCCCATTATTAGGCTTGGGCCTAGGTAGGTTTAGGTCAATGTAACTATTGTAGATATTACGTTATGCATCAATTTCTTCATTTTAGATAAATAAATTATATTTGTTTTTATTTTTTTGCTGCTTTTTCTCGTAATTTGCTTTCTTTATTTTTCTTTTTTAAAAGTTTCTTAAGGTGAAAGGATTAATATATACTTTAGTGTTTAATTTTACTTTAAAATTTAACCGGGTATATAATTTTTTATTAATTTGTATATTTTATGCTTCAATTTGATATTTATATTGAAGTATATATTAATCCTTTCGTAATTTCAGTTTTACAATTTCAATGAATTGATGTGATGCGGGCAACCTTCCCACATCGGTGCCGCCCCCAGATGAAATTCGTTATAATATAATTGGAATTTTGACTTTTGTCTTAGACGGCATTTTACAAGTTGATTAATAAATAATAAATGCAATAATACATTAATTAATAAATATTTTTTTATAGAAATACGTTAGTTTTATTAAAAATTTAATCAATATTCGAACAAAATAAATATACGAATAAATCTAACTATATCGACAAACAGACCACAAAAGGGGATGAAGCTACTGAAGACAACCGACAAATCATAAATAAGAGTTAAGTGACGTGAGAAAATTATCTACAAACGCAAAACGCGTATCTAAATTGATTATAAAGTCCAAAACAGAGAAGATCAACATGATAATAAATAAGTGTTATCTTGATCAGTCGTGGCGATGTCAAATCCAATCTTAAGAAAAAAGATAAACGAAAACAACAACAAAAACACAAACTACCAAAAGACAAAGAAAAACGTGTCACAAATGTAGAGATAAAACGTACCATAAAAGCAGATAACATGACACAAAATATAAGTATTCTTATTAAAAAAAAAAAAAAGTAACCGATGGACGACAATCAACATCAAAATCAGTGTCACAACGAGTTAAATAAATTAAAAAAAATTGAAACAATCAATAAAATTAATACAAATTATAAAAAACAGAAAAATGAGTAGGAGGAGGAGGAGGAAAACGACTAAATTAATTAATAAATGTTAAATGTGATTATAAGATGTATCATACATGGGCAAAAGTATCAAAATAATGATGTGAGAATTTTAATTCCTAAAGTAATGTAGTCATCAGATTAATTTTGATATAGTGTGTTTTCTACAGGGTTTGGGATCTCTCGGGCGTCTTCAGAGGTGTTCATTGTTAGATGGATTTTCTAGGCGTCTTTAATGGGATTCTAGGAAAAAAATTGGCTATTTTACACAAATCACCTTAACAAAATTAATTACTTTTAGACACTCTTTAAGAATATTTTACGGATCTAGCATATTTTAAATACTTTCTATAAATTATTCATGCATTAAATTATATAATACAATTATATCTACCAATTACCACTTAACACTTTCTGATGCGTTTTGACCCTTTCAAATCCTATACGTATAGTATATTAT